ACCAAGCTTCCGGCAAGTGTTACCTACAACCTGCTACCACACTCATGCAGGCCATAGTCAAAGAGGACAGTGTGATTCTCAGGGTAGATCCTGGTTGGTTGACAACCTACTGTCCCCAGGGTCAGGTCAGCAGTTTTAATCCAGTGCCTGATTCCAAATAAATCCAACTGGGCCCTGACCAGCAGCTTGTGCTCTCCACACTGCACCATCACAGTCTGCAGTGGAGACACACTCCCACCCTCAGATATTCTGAAACTAGAACCAATGGGACCCCCACAAGGAGGGACTCTCTCAGGTACAGGGGTGGATCTCACTATTCTCCATGGAAACCTCTGGCTCAGAAACTGTTGCCATAGTTCAGAGCAATAAACAGCTCCAACTAACACCAGCACAGGAAACAAACTCCTCACTACAAAATCACCCATGATCTCAATCAACTCAACAATCCCTTCCAACCCCCACCCAGCTCCTTTTATACACACAACCTGCACTCACCTGACACCAATTAGACCAGAAGCAGCAACATTGAACCAATGAACCAGCCCCAGTCTCTACAATTTCCACCAATGACTGAACTCATGAATTTATTACCAGGCGGGCCTGTTCCATTTGGACCAATAGGAATGGCTGTGAGTTGCTGTGCTGTCACCTGACTGCATTCAGCTCCACAAGTTCTCATGGTGAAGGGACTCCTGAGTACAATCATCAAACATGGATCATTGATTCAGGAGGTTGATGGTGGGTTTAATCTTTACTGACCTTGGGGTTCTGACAGTGAGCCATACAGAGAGATTGTCTCTGGATGGGGCTTGGGCTGGACAAAGGAAGCGTTCTTCAGGTTTGCCTCTTGCTGCACCTTTCATGGGAATATTTAATTGGTACAGTGTAAGGGGAACTTTAATTTCAGTTTAAAAGAATAGAGAAAGTTGACTCACTATCTCTCCCCCACCCCGACTAACCCCCCATCCCTCATGCTGTACCTCTCCTAGTAGCGTTTGATGGTTACAGTTTAGAGGAAGCTTTATGCTGTATCTAACCTTGTGATGTCCCTGTCTTTGGAGTGTTGATGGGAACAGCGAAGAGACTGCTTTACTTCGGATCTAATCCCATATTGTCAGTGTGCACTACTGTCACTGAGACTCTTTAACGGGGAATGTGTTGATGGAGCATTGATTTTCCTTTGAAACAGTAGAGAGAGCTTTTCTCTTTATCAAACTCTGGGTTGTACCTGTCCTGTGAATATTTGATAGGAAGAGTATAGATCAGCTGTACTTTACAGAAAGCTTTATTTTCAGTTTATCAGAGTAGAGGGAGCTGTCATCTTTAACGAATCATGTGCTGTCCCTGTCCTGGGACTGTTTCTAAGGACAGTGTATTGGTAGCTTTCCTTCCAGTTTAAAAAGGTAGAAGAAGATTTACTTCCAGCTTGCTAAAAGAGTACAGGGAGTTTTACTCTGCATATATCCACAAGTGCTATCTCTCCTGGTTGTGTATGATGGGGACAATGTGAAGAGAGCTTTGATGGGACAGTATAAGGAGCGATTTTTCTTTTTATCGAACCATGTGCTCTCCCTGCTCTGCAAGTTTTTGGGGACAGTGTTGAGAGAGCTTCACTGTCTGCGTAAAAGATGACCGGAAGCTTTCCATAGCATTGAACCATGAGCTGTACCTGTGCTGGGAGTGTTTGATGGGGACCACAGAGAGCTTTAGGTTATGTTTGAAAATGTAGAGAGAACATTCCTCTCAGTTTAAAAGATTCGAGGGAGCCTCACTCTGTCTGTATTCCTGATTGGTACATTCCTGTGGGAGTGTTCCTGGCTTGCTGCGTGTATGTATGGTTTAAAGGGCAGCGAATGTAATTCCACTATTTTAAAAGAAAAAGAAATAAAGAGAAAATGGGAAGGTATAGACTAGTTAGCCTGACATTGATAGTGCGGAAAATATGAGAATCTAATCTAAAATATTTAATAGCAGAGCACAGGAAATCAGTGACTCATCAGACAAAGTCAGCATGAATTTACAAAAGTGAAACCATTCTTGACAAATCAATTAAAATTTTTTGAGGATGTACCTTGTAGAATTGATAAGGGGGAACAATTGGATGTGGTTTCTTCAGACTTTCAGAAGGCTTTTGGTAAGGTTCCTGCATAAAAGATGAGCATGTAAAATTAATATTTTGACTAATTGAATGAGTGGGGGAAAAAAACACAGCAAAGGCAGTACAATGTGGATAAATGTGAGGTTATCCACTTTGGAACCAAAAACAGGAAGGCAGATTTCTAGCTGAATGACAATAGAATGAGAAAGGGGGAGGTGCAATGAATCCCGGGTGTCCTTTTCACTAGTTGCTGAAAGTCTGCATGAAGGTGCAGCAGGTGGTGAAGAAGATAAATGGTATGTTGTCCTTCATAGAGAAAGCATTCAAGGACAGAAAAAACGATATTTTGCTACAAATGTACAGGGCATAGAGTGACTGCACCTGGAGCACTGTGTTCAGTTTTGGTCTCCCTATCCGAAGAAGGATGTTCCGGCTATGAAGGGAATGCAACATAGATTTACAGACTGATTCCTGGGTTTGCAGAGTTAAGGAATGAAGAGAGACTGGATCCGTTAGAACTATTTTCACCGGAGTTCAGAAGAATGAAGGGAAATTCTCAGAAACCTGCAACATTCTAACAGGACTAGGCAGGATAAATGCAAGAAAGATGCTCCCCATGACCATGGAGTCCAGAAATAGGGGTCACAGTTTAAAGAAATGGGGTAGGCCATTTAGGACGGAGATAAGGATAAATTTCTCCACCCAGACAGTAATCAGTCTGCAGAATTCTTAGCCACAGAAAACAGTTGAGGCCAAAACATTGAACGTATTCAAGAAGGAAACAGATTGGCGGAGTTGGAATAGTTTCTCGTTATCCATTAGAAATAGGAACAGCAGGAGGCCATTTGGCCCTTCAATTTTTCTCCACCATAGGATCATGGCTGATTCCTCACATCCAATTACCTACATTTTCCTGACAACCCTTGATTCCCCGAATGATCAAGAATCTCTCTAACTCAGTCTTAAATATACACAAGGACTCTGATCACACAGCTCTCTGTGGCAAGGAGATCCAAAGGCATTGAACCCTCATAGAGAAGAAATTCCTCTCCATCTTAGTATTATAACATAACTGTTTGTAAGTTATCTTCTCATGTGCCTTCTGGAAATTCAAATACGATACATCTACTACTTCCCCTCTATTGACTCTTGCTGAGAATTCCTCAAACCAATTCACCCGGTATGATTCCCCTTACATGAAGCTATGCAGCCTCTGTTCAATTAGGTTAATGACCTGGTTGTGTCTTCCTCCAACAATATGATAAATTTGTGCAGGCGTAATTTCCTCTTCATGCAGCCGAGCTGACTCTGATTGATCATATAATGTATTTCTAAAAATTCTCTCATAAAAGGTAACATTGCCATTGTCCCAAAGCACTGCAGACCCTGTCATTACATAGAGGTGACTGGTGAACAACCTAACCTAGAGGTGACCAAGCCTCAGGTAAGAGGCCAGGACGAGAATGTGGAAACTTCGTGGTAACGTCAGACAGTGCGGGAATTGAATTTCACCCTTTGTAATAGACTCTAATAGTTTCCTCACAACAGATGTTATGCTAACTGGTCTATGGTTAGCTGTTTATTGTCTCCCTTCCTCCTTGAATCCCTTGTTGAGTGGATGGGGTACCATTGAAACAGGCTGCTTTGCCCTGGATGATGTCGAGCTTCATGAGGTTGCACCCATCCAGGCAAGTAGAGAGTATTCTATCACACGCCTGACTTGTGCCTTCTTGATTGTGGGCAGGGTTAGAAGAGTTAGGAGGTGAGTCGCATTGTGGACAGTGCGGAGGGCTGTTCTATGTTACAAAGGAACATTGATAGGATGCAGAGCTGGGCTGAGAAGTGGCAGATGGAGTTTAACCCTGAAAAGTGTGAGGTGATTCATTTTGGAAGGACAAACTTGAAAGCAGAATACAGGATTAACAGAAAGATTCTTGGCAGTGTGGAGGAGCAGAAGGATCTTGGGGTTCATGTTCACAGTTCCCTGAAAGCTGCCACCCAGGTGGATAGAGTTGTTAAGAAGGCGTATGGTGTGTTAGCTTTCATTAATAGAGGGATTGAGTTCAAGAGCTGTGAAGTTATGCTCCAGCTATACAAAAGCCTGGTTCAGCCACATCTCCAGTATAGTGTCCAGTTCTGGTCACCTCATTGCAGGAAAGATGTGGAAGCATTGGAAAAGGTGCAGAGGAGATTTACCAGGATGTTGCCTGGAGTGGAGGGAAGGTCTTACGAGGAAAGGTTGAGAGAGCTAGGGCTATTCTCTTAAGAATGACGAAGGATGAGAGGTGACTTGATAGAGGTGTACAAAATGATCAGAGGTATAGATAGAGTAGACAGCCAGAGACGTTTTCCTATGGTGGAGGTAGCTATTACGAGGGGGCATAGTTTTAAAGTGAGTGGAGGTAGATACAGGGGAGACGTCAGAGGTAGGTTCTTTACTCAGAGAGTGGTAGGGGCGTGGAATGCATTGCCGGAGAGTACAGTGGAGCCGGCCTCATTAGGGGCATTTAAGCGGCTATAAGATAAGCATATGGATGATAGTATAAGGTAGGGGTGGAGTTTAGATAGACCTTAGATTAGGGTAAAAGTTCGGCACAAGATTGTGGACCGAAGGGCCTGTACTGTTCTTTGTTCTATGTGAGTTACTTGCCATAGTATTTCTAACCTTTGCCCTGTTCTGGTATTCAGGGTATTTATATGGCTGGTTTTATTCAGTTTCTGATCACTGGTGAATATTAATCATAGATCATAGAATCCCTATGGTGTGGAAACAGGCCATTCGGCCCAACAAGTCCACACCACCCCTCTGAAGACCATCCCACCCAGACCCATTCTCCTAATTTCCCATGGCTAAGCCAACTAACCTAAACACCCCAGAACATTATGGGCAATTTAGCACGACCAATTCACCTCGCCTGCACATCTTTGGACTGTGGGAGGAAACCGGAGCACCTGGAGGAAACCCACGCAGACAAGGGGAGAATGTGCAAACTCCACACAGACAGTTACACAAGGCTGGAATCGAACCCTGTGAGACAGCAGTGCTAACCGCTGAGCCACCGTGCCATCCCAAATGTCTCACCATTTTAGATAAAATGCTTATTCTTATTCTTCTTACCAAAGTGGACAATATCACACTTTCTCACATTGTACACCATTTGCCAGATCTTTGCTCTCTCACTGAATGTATATGTATCTCTCTGTAACTTCCTGATGATCTAGTCACAGTGTTCTGATCTACCTTTTTGTCGTTTCTGTAAACTGTGAGTACTTGACCCCTGTTGCAGAAACTCATTACAGTTTGCTAATCTGAAAATGACGTTTTTA